GAATACTGGCCACTAAAAGGCCATCATCTAATTGAATGAATGTGGCTACACTAATTTAATAAATGTGTGAAGTCATCATATTGACAAAATCTGTCCAGACTAACAACATGAAATCAACAGCAACTATGTTACCTCAGCTGCTAGCATGTTGATGTTCTGGAGTCGCACAAAGCTGGATTTAAGGAATAACTGTTTAAATTAAAGTTTTGAGAACATCTTTAATGCCATCTTGTCCAAATACATAACATGACGTCGTTGGGTTGGATGCTGCTAATAGACTTACATTAGTTAAGTTTAGCTAACTAGTGAACGAATCAGTGACTCAGTGAAAAATAAGGAAACTAAATAAAAAGTAGTGTAAAGGAGATCATTTTTGTGCTGATCAGGCTGCCACAGTGAGTTGTTATGTTAAAAAAAAGCCAAGGATATGCTGTCCACTTTGTCCATTTTTACTCTCTGACTGTTAAGCAGTAAGTGGTTCCTCGTTGTTTGGCTAACTGCACTGAAACAGTAAAATCCACCTGTTAGCCACCATGTTCAGGCTTGTAAAGCACTTTATAAATGAGGACAGTGTGCAGGAGAGCCTGTTTAAGTCAGATTTCCTGGTAATTCAAGAGAACGACAAGCTGGAGACAGACACAGAGTATCCTTGGGCCAGGTATAAGAGCAGCAGAATCAATTGATGAGGCATTGTTACATATTATAATAATGGTCTCTTACACAAGGACATTCAAACAGTTTACTATATGTGCATCACAAAACAAACATGACTCAATTTCTTACTGAAACATGGTCGGGAATCCTTGCAACAAAAGAAAAACGAAAAAGAAAAGAAAAAAGGAGTCTCTGAGGAAGAGATGCAGTTAGTTTTGGAGATCTTTTTTTCTCTCACATCATCTCACTAAGTGGATTGTTTCATATTAGAAGTCAGGAAAATCAAATGTAAGTGAAGAAGAAGGATTTTTTTTTCCTATGGAGATGCTGATGGATGTTTTCAATTATAAAGTGTTTTAAAAACCTGAACATTACAGCTAACAGGTGGATTTTCTTTCTTTCTATTTTTTTTTTTTTTTTACATAAAACTGCCTGCTGCAGTCAGGGGCAGAACAAAAGTGATCCCCTTAGACTGTGTTTTAGTTTTAGTCTCCTTAATTTTCACGAAACTATTGGTTCTGTCACTAGTTAGCTAACATAAATTAATGTAAGTCTATTAGCTGCAACCAACCAACCAGCCTGGATGATGTCACATTTTTTACTGGCACAAGATGGCGATAAAGATGTTCAACAACTTGATAAACAACTTTAAAGACTTAAAAATGCATAGACTCTAATATTTAGTCCCCTTTACACTCCAATTGTTTGAATACCTTTTTAACTATTGTGAATCATTTGATTAGTGATGGTGGTAAGCTATTGTATCTCTGTAGGGTCTTCTTAGTGGATTTCAGGTTGTTTTCAAGGACATTATTCCATGAGTTTGAGACTGGAAAGAGAGAGTTTGAGGAAACACAGGGCGGTGTGACTGAATTCCAGTTATCCTGTGACTCAACTGATGCAGATAAAGTAGGGTTTTCAACTCTGTTGGATGACAGCTCATCCTCACTGCCTTTGTGATCCATGGAATAATTCCTAATATTGCAACGGAACGCTTTCTCTGTGTTTGCTTCCTTCTTACACAAAATAATGTAGCACTTTGTGAAAAATTGACAAAACAAGATGCCGTAGCATGAGATGAGGATAACTATCATCTCCACTGCTGGAAGATATTTGCCTGTGACATTGACATAGACTGGGCCAAACATGATCCAGGAGATGAAGTAAATGAGCATTGCAAAAGTGATGAACTTTGCATCATTGTAACTGTCAGGCAACTTTCGTCCCTTAAAAGCAACACCAAAGCAGATGAGAGCCAAAAGGCCAATATAGACTAACATGGCTCCAAATGCAGGAATTAATTTCTCATTACAAAACATCAGTTTCATGTTGTTCTGTGTGATCTCTGAGTCAGCAGTTGGAGGACTGTGTATAAGCCACGTTGTAACAATAACCACTTGACCTGCCATGCAGACTGCAATAATGAGGTAAGGCTTGTAGAGCTTCTTCAGCACACTTTGAATGACCGGGTCAAACTCAAAGGCTAAGACGATCTTAAAGGACTTGACCATGATGCAGGAGACACACAAGGTAAAACTCAAGCCAAACACCACCTGCCGTGCTTGACACTGATAGCTATTGGGTTGACCACCAAATAATATAACACTAGTAAATGTGATCATAAGGGAGAGGAGGAGAATGATGCTGATTGGGCCAACAGATGAGCGCACAACAGGGGTATTCCAGTGTGCAAGGAAGATGATCCCAACAACAATGGTAAGCACTGCTCCTAAAGAAGTAAAAGACAGCAGCACAATAAGATATACATCATCCCATTTCAGAAAATCAGTTTTTCTGGGTAAACACACTGAACTAGTGTTTTTGGAGTAATAGTTTTCTTTGCAAGGATGGCATGTCTCCGAATCTGGAAACAGAGGACAAAAGGTCATTAGAATATTTAACTTGGATTCAAATTCCTTGAGCTGTCAATGCAACAGACTGTGTAATATAAGCATTTCAAAACACTTGTTTTCATAATATTTTGCAGTTTGCAACACAAATGGAGTTAGGAGTTGTTTTTGTAATACACACCATTGGAGTTGGAATATTGGTTCTCAGCACAGGGTTCACACTGATAGCAGCAACCAGGCTGGCCTGTAACTGAAGTCTTCCTGTAGCCAGGCCTACAGCTGTCTGTGCACCTGGAAGTCACATTTCCCTTAGAGAGGAAAGAATCACCATCATGGCCGTCAATTTTATTTACTAACCATATGAAATCATACCCCACCCCACCCCCACCCTTTTATTTTTAAATCAGTGTGGCATATACCATCTGTTGTTAGACACAAGGGTTTGCACGTTTTTACACACTAACATATACATTATCAACAGAAAAAGAGACTAAAGTCTCAATGATGGCAGTTTTTGCCATGTGCAAACTCTTAAGTTAGCATGTTAGCATATCAATATTTGCTATTATAATGGAACCCAGTACCAATGATAAAAGAATAGTGTAATAAAAGAGTTAAAGAGTAAAATAACTTGCCTGTGAAAGGTAAACACTTACTATGTGTCTCTGAAGAGCCTGTTGTGTTTCCTGTGAGGTGAAAGTCAGATTCTGGTGTTCTATACTGTAATAGGCTAAAACGTTGTTCACATCTAGAGAATCTTGAGTCTGCTTCCACAGGATGATATCATATCCAGAGTTGAGGTCACCATGGTGATCAAATGAATAACTTTTTTCCTCCATGTAGAACGTTGCCTTCCGTAAGGCTCTTCGTAGCTGAAGTTTTGAAAACACAAATTAAAAATAATTTACCTGTAGCGGTTAGAAAAATGAACATTTATAGAGGATTGTGTTTCTGGCCACTTGTTCAATATCTAGTACAATACATATACACAAAAATATACAGTGGGTAAAATAAGTATTGAACATGTAACTAGTTTACAAATTAAATATATTTCTAAAGGTGCTATTTACATGGAATTCTCACCAGATGTAACAACTCATCCAATCAACACGTGCAAAGAAATGAAATCTAGTGCTCTAATCGGGGGCTACAGTACTATAAAGTCATTACGACAAGATGCGACCTCATTATTCAAGAATGTGAATTCAGTTCTGGATTTAACATATATATAGAAAGACAGAAATATGGTCTCTCTTTCTGGTCCTGTTAGTACTCTTGCTTTGGCATTTTGGATCAACTAAAGACTTTTCAGGTAGTTTGTTTGGAAATCCTGCCTAGAAGCAATAAATGCATAAACTAGTTTTTCAGCTTCAGTCTGAAACAGGATATTTCTAATTTTAGCGATATTGTACAAATGGAAGAAAGCAGTCCTACATATTTGTTTAATATTCACATTGAAGGTAATATCATGGTCAAAAATGACTCAAAGAATCCTCACAGTGTTACTGGTGGCCAAGGTAATGCCATCCAGAGTAAGCATCTGGTTAGGTACAATATTTCAATGCCATTTCTTTTTTTATGGCTGAGTACAATAACCTAAGTTTTATCTGAATTTAGAAGCAGAAAATGAGAGCTCATTTAGGTCCTCATGTCTTTCCTGGCATTCCTGCAGTTTAACTAATAGGTGTGTGTTATCTGGCTTCATGGATAGATAAAGTTGGGTGTCATCTGCATAGCATTGAAAATGTATGCTATGCCTTCTAATGATACTGTCTAAGAGAAGCATGTATAATGTAAACAAAATTGGTCTTAGCATGGAGCCCTGTGGAACTCCATAATTAAGCTTAGTGTGTGAAGAGGACTTTCCATTTAGATGAACATAATGGACTCTATTAGATTAGAAAGATATGATTCAAACCACTGCAGCACAGATCTTCAATATCTACAGACGCTTCAATTGCTGCAATAAAATATATGGA